AACCTTCGCTGGGAAGGGACAGGCACATACTACAATTCCAGGAGAGATTGTTGCTGCATACCGTAGGTTGACTACATGCATACACAGTACACGTATACTGTACAGTGTAGTTAATATTTTCATCGGAGGGCAACATTCAATCTCTCAGTATTGTACAGGGCACACTACATCTATGTGTAAATGTAGCACACACAGAAACAAATGGCCATCAAAGGAAATAAAGACTGTCAGTATCTTAAGGGTACTGGTCATCATTACAAGGACGACACTGGAGACGTCCATCTTGTAAAGATTAAAAAAAAAAAAAATTATTGCACAATTATGACACGGATTCAAAGTTGCTCCCCTGATGATGTCAATCCTCTGGATTACATGTACATTATGCCACACACACACACACCAGAGCCAGAGCCATCCCATGGAGGCCGGAGCACTCCCTTAAAAGAGATGGAGCTGTCATTTTCAATTCCATCATTGGAAGAGGGGATGACTCATCTTCTGTGTTGTCTATCATTCATCTGCAAGACAGCTATATACCATCGCCACAGGTGGAATATCCTGATTGACACGCACTGCATAATGGCCAGAAAGGTGGGTATTCTGATGTTTATCAGGTGTTCAGAAAACAAGGCACTGGCCAGTAGGCCAGCTCCTCTTCTTTCTTTTCCACTGCAGTTCACATCAAATGCATTTAATTATCAGACGAGATGCAGCACAGGTGTTATTCAGATGTTCTTGATGAATTTTACTTCTGTTTTTGCACACTCTTTATGTTTCACATGTTCACATGTTCGCAGGTTGTGGGGACTACACGTCTGTTGAAATAGAGAAGTTAAAATTGGGAACACAAATGTTAAGGGGACAACTTTTTGTCCCCACAAAGGGGTTCCAACTTTCCTAACAAAAGAATATTGTTCCTTTAATACAGGAAAGGCTTACTCACTATTTCAAGGCTTTTCCAGTGATAAATATTTATAAGCAATATGCATTTTCAGAGCTAAAGCTGCAAATACATACAGTATATGTACAATTATACATGTATCCTAATATCCAAGGTCCTCAAAATCTCCTAAAAATGCTTGGAGGATTCTGCACATATGTAACCTCATTATCTACTTACATGTACGTTTTTTTGCACAATTAATACTTAGTTGCTGAAAGCAAAACACAGTGCAAGAAAAAATATATAAAGCTTTTCACCACTCTGAAGTCCCAAGATGCCTGTACACTGAAATCAAAATGATGAATTTGGCCTGTTATTAAAAAGCACTTTCAGGAACTGTTTTTAAACACAGGTGCAGGAAAGTAGACACCCTCAAAACATGTCAGTATGGCTGTTGTATCGGTATCTGTAGATTTCCTTGTTTTAAGATGTGAGACACATACTCGTGTAATGATCCAAATGATAAAAATGTGTACAGAAAACAAGTTTGCCACCATATCCCCTTATTCAGTTAACCAATGGGTCTTCATAATACAAACTTCAACCAGAAATCAAACCTTAATCTATACAGGTACGATACGTGTACATGTACGTGCACTGAGAAATACTGGTACATGCACCTGGGCCCTGTACAACTTAATTCATCCCAAAAAAAAAAAAAAAAGCTGTTGGTTTCAGCGAATTTAAGATAACAGGATCATCATCATGAAAACGCAGTGACACCAACGGTGGCAAAACAAAGATCACAGTAAGGAGCTGAAATACATGTACATGTCGTTGTCATTACCAACGAGCCCTTACTTATATTTGAGACAAACAATGCACTTCATGTGAAAAATAGGATATCACTGAGCTGTATCATATCCTTGAACATGTACATGTACAAATACTGTAGGGGTGCAAACATGGCTTTCCCCCTTTTTTCCAGGATGCCTTTTTAAATAAATGTCAGGGTCTTTCAGAGGAAGCTGTATTTACTTGGAAGTTAATTCTGGATCTGTATTTTAAACATGTACATATAGGTACATGTACAAATTACGCTGATTAACAACGGGAAAATACAACTGGTGATTAGCTTCTCAGAAAAAAAGCAGCATGCTACAGGATGTTTGATCTAATTAGATTTGAGGCATTCAAAATAGACTTTCTTTTTTATTCCTACCACTAGGCAACACTTCCATGTATCTGTAGTAAATGAATGCCTTCACCATGTGTCTGTTTTTTCCAAAGGTTTTCCCCTTTCAAAAGGAAACTGGATGAGGCAATTACACTAGACTTTGAAGAATGTGCCAGTTGTTTACATCATTGGAAATTCTTGTGAAGTCCGTGAAATCTTTCGACGAAAATTGCCGGTAAAGCTGTCATTACAGAGAGAGTGTTATTGTGAAGATCTTATTAGCCAAGTCATGTTTACTGAAACTGTGCAATGCTGCTGAACGTTTTATAGAATGCAAGGAATTAACACAGCAGCACTACTCAATAGGTTTGTCTGTATAATTTCTGAGGAGCGGCGAGAATGTTTGTAAGTTGAGTGTTACCCTATGCTTGGTGTTTCTACTGCTGGGGTTTTACTACATGTATTTGATAGCCGAACAAATTCAAACATACACAAATTGACCAACTACAGAAAAATCTGCACTTTCTTTGAAAACTGGGTAAAACATCCCCTACCCTGCTGAACATGAACTTGAAAATGCATGTACTCAGCTGAGTCCAGCACAATCATATAATCCAACAGGTGTGATGCTTAGCATATTTAATAAATATGTTACCACCAAGATTTTTTGGTTTGACTGCTGAGACTAATACAAAAACCAAAGACAACAGACCAAAACCTTGATGATGTCATACTTTTTTAACTGGAGGTTTGATGAATCGTGTCCCAGCTCACTGCCATATAAAAGTGCCATGTAAACAAGGCATGACATCACTTTGCTACAGGTCTATTACACACTTTTGGATATGGTTGGAAAATGAAGGGTTACAGTTAAGGGAAGAATTCCATTCCTGTATACAGACATAACTAATTTCTCTATGCAGTAACACATCAGTCATTAGAAGGTGATAACATGTCCTAAAACATCAACATTAGTTGGGAAAATATTGAAACATTTACTTTGAAAACAGTTTTTGGACCAGTCTGACAGGGTGTGTGCACAAGGTGTCAAGTGATAGCAGGGTATGGAACTCTTTCCACGGTGAATAAAATAACATTAATTAAAATAAGAAATTTTAAAGCAAAACAAAATGCACTTGTAACACTAGTGAAATTCAATTTTCCAAAACATGGGTAATACGGGCGTTTCACAATAGTGCGCCTCCAAGAGTGTGAAACGCGTTGGCCAATAACACTGCGCAAAATCTGTCGACCCAATGCGCATTTGGAAAGGGTCCACAGATTTCGCGTGTTGTGATTGGCCAACGTGGTGCAAACTCTTGGAGGTGCACTTTTGAGAATATCCCATATTTTAGCATCAAAAGGCCCACACTGGATTTATGTTAACTGTGGATACAGCTGTAGCACAGATCTAAGTACATGTACATGAACATTTATGTAGCACCCAACCATAGGGTCGCACACTGAGCTATGCCAGTGACATGCAGCACTGATGTCACACACGATCCAAAGAAGTACTCCTGAGCAGTGTTTCTTGAAGTTCTTTGAAGCCACATCAAGCACTAAGAATGCACATGTTTATTATGAATGAAACGATCAGGAGCAAGTTCATGTGGTGATGAATGGCAAAGTTGAGAGGATACTTTTGAGACCAAAATTTCCCAAAAAGAAAAAATTAGAGGATTGCTGTTTTGGAGTACTTAGTACGTTTAGGTTACCAAAGCTGTATAAGAAATTGCAGGGCTTATTGTGACCATTTTCAGAGAAGACAGACTATTCCCTAGGTTTCTCTATGAAAGGGTGTAGAGTCCGGGAAAAAGGCATGGAGATATCCTTCTCTGGTTACGGTCTTAGGGATCCTCGGGGACTATGAAATTAGTGTAGGTAATTCTTGAAAAAGGTTTGATTACATGACATGCTGTAGTCTAGAATTAATTATTTAATCAAGTGATCCATAACTATTAACTGTCACAAACACACATAGGAGGCCTACACTGTACAAAATGTAACAATATTAATTATAGTAAGCCTAATCCCAAATATTCTGTCGTAACCTGTCAACTGGTCAAAAAGGGCCAAGGCCTAATGCCGGGCCTGCTGCCCTAGGCCTGTTTCCTGGCCTTGACGATAAACCTTTTCGCCGTTGGCAATGCAATGTGGGTTTGGATGATGTACATGTACATGCAATGCATTTCATGCACAACCCTATGGGAGTAGTGTAAATATTAATCTGTTTCCATTTTATTTTATACTCCAATTCAAGCCACCCCCTTCTGACAAAGTGTTGGATTATTGATTTGGGACAAAGATATTCACCAACTTCGAAGTTTAAAGCTTGGCAGAGAAGGAAAATTTGAAAAATTCCTTCCACCAACACCACTTTTTGTCACAATCATGCTTTGACTAATTCGTGAATATTAATGTTCTAGTATTGTCCAATCAAAATTACGCTTACAGCTCATTCATCTCGCTTTGACCAGTCACGTTCATTTTCAGCCTTTAGAGTGACTGGTGCCCTTAAAAAAGGGCAATTAAGGGTGATTTGTTCCTATAAATATTTGGAAAAGTATTTCAAACTGTTTCTTGTAAGTTATAGGCCTATAATCTGATAATACGCATGCATGCGTGAGTTGATGAGCAGATAGGCCTACATAAAAAATATTTTGTAGAAAACTGTAACTTAATTTTTGACTGGTTCACTTCCCCCATAGGGTTGTGCATAACATGCATCACTTGTTTGTCATCCACACCCATAATGCATTGCGAACGTCGAAAAGATTTATTGATGACAACATTCAGAAAAATGAAAAAGGCCATTTTCAAATCAATCTCGTACGATATTTAGGCTAGGTCTAAATGATTTTTAATAAACTCAACAAATTCTGCACACAAACTCATGGGCTCTCCATCTCATAGGTTGTGCCCAGGTTTTGTACTCACTTCTAGCGGCGTTCAACAGCGCTTTTCCATCCCGTATCAACTCTTTAATCGCCTTGTTCGTGCGTTCCAGTTCATTTTCGTGCGAGTGTAAACTTTCCCTGAATTCGGGACTGTCTAGATAGCACTCGCTAAATTCCAGCGGTTGTAGCACCATCTTGGCTGCAAAACAGGACCCTTTCACAAGCTGGCAGGGTTCAGACAGTTTGTGGCATGCTGTTGGCAGTGATTTATAGTAATTTCCCGCTTCGGTTTTCTTAAGAAATGGGTGATAACCGGCTTGGCAGCTTCATTGATGACAACGAATCTACTCGTCCCATCCCATTTTTCCCAATATGGCGAAAGACTGAAATGCGCTTGCGCATGACATTCGCGATGTCGTCACTAGCCGCCGGTGTGTTGCGTGAATGCTTCCTGTGTCTAGTCTCTTCAGACTGGTAAAAAGACTAGGCCTGAGGCTCCGGCGGCCGGATAGTGGGGGTGGGGTTTGGCATCATAGTTACAGATGGCACTCCATGTTAAAGTCATTCCTACGAAAATCATGTGAGATTCATGTCATTTTCCTAAAACTAGCTCATGCAGCAAACTTTCCCAATTGGCACGATATTCTAGAGGAACAGAAGAAAGGACCATGTTTTATACCAAGCAGGATACTGGACAGAAGGGTATCTCGAAATCCCTATACACACACTCTAGACTATAGTTAACCCCAGATATCTTTAAAGAATTCCTGAGATTCTGATCAAACAATGACCAACACAAAGGTGGGGGTGCTCTCCGTCCCATACCTTGCTTCATATGCCATGTTAGGTCGACAACTTGCGATGAATTCAGACAATTAGTTGAAACAGGATTGGCCAGCAAACCATATTCAGGTAGGAGAAGAACTGGCAGGACTAAGGCTCCGAGTGCGAGTGCAAATAGTCAATTTTAAGCGAGGGCAAACAAGAAACATCTTTGTATCTCTCTTTGTAGAGCTCAATGCCCTTTTATAAGATCTAAAATGAAATTCTTTTGACTAAATTAATAACACTTCTATATGATACGTCTTGTATGTTGTTTCCGGAGTCTGCTAAAGGAAAGAGCACTGAAATAACAATACATTTCCGCCTTATAATACGTTTGATCTTTATTTTAATCGTCTTGTAAAATAGTTGCCAGAAGAGGGCGCATGTGTAAAATACGGAGAATGTTGTGGAATGGAGAAGAAATCCTGACGTTTCACAATAGTGCACCTCCAAGAGTTTACAAATGCGTTGGCCAATCACAATGCGAGAAATTGGTCTGACCCTCATGCACCTAAATTGGTTCGTAAGTGTGACATCACTTCAGTTTAAACCACGCCCACTGCACATAGAGTTACACGGCATGGCACGCAACTAACATTCGTCCAATGGTAGCCTGCGATCGGTGGTGCGAACGCGTGTATGACGAAGTCACACGAACCGCAGAGTACTCGTTAAACATCTGACAGGTTTCGCGTCATTGAAAACTTGAGACTTCATTGTATGCAATCTGATGCCAGAACTATCATCCAATGACAGGTAACCGTGGAAAGAGCGTTGGCGGAGCCGGGGAAATACACCATCGGTTACAAACACATGATGTGAAACGAGGCTCGTGCAAAAATAACTTGTGCGCCTCACTCACTCCACGAGGAAGGATATTGGCAAAAAGTCTGCCCCAATTTCGCGTTCATGTTTACAGTCAAGCTCTCTTTTCGATGTCAGTCAACTCTCGATGTCGCTTGCGTGGTGTTTTATTGACCGAGGGACTTTTCTCATGAGCTTGAGTTAAAAACTTTTCCCAGAAGTCTTTCCTCAAGAGGACTGAGTCCACACACCAAGACTTCAACATGTTCAACAGTAGATGCAGCATGCAGTGCTCCCTGTTGGGTGGAGACGCCGTGGCCGAGCAGAATGTGTTGTCATCGTTAAGAACCTCCGTCTCCGACTCTTTCTCGTAGAACCATGGTTCCGTTATTCAAAATTTCGTCAAACTTGATGAAATTCGATAGAACTTGGAATATATGAAGCAGGCAAACTTAAACTGTTTATGTTTGCAGCTAATTTCACGTTGAACCTAAACCTCAACTTCAACATGAACATAATTCTGCTGTGAAGTGATTATGTGTTTTTTCCGGTTTTCTGATCAAGATATAAACAAGAATGCATTGGAATGATCAGCAAGGGTAAGTCTAAAACGAATTAAAGCTAATTAATTAAACCAAGACAGTTTTACCCTTTTGAGAAGGAAAATTTCAATTAAATTCAAATAAATCTTTGTGTACAAGAATGGTGAAAGGAGGTTATGAAAATACCGCTTACTCCGTGCCGTAATAAACATGACTAAAACAACTATACAGACGTGTTGGAACTAAGTTGAAGGCCTATTGTTTAGAGAGCGAGTTTGTCAGAAGTCTGTCTGAAGCAAGCAGACAATTTACTTTGCATTACAAGGAAATATGACACATGCAGTAGACTTTGACGCGTGCCGATAAAAACATTGTGGTTAGTTTTAGTCCGTTGTGCTTTTAATAAGCTTGTAAAATAATTGCCGGAAGAGGGCGTATGTGTAAAATACGGAGATGTTGTGGAATGAAGAAGTAACACGAGCCTTTCACAATAGTGCACCTCCAAGAGTTTACAGACGCGTTGGCTAATCACAATGCGAGAAATCTGTTGACCCAATGCGCGTTTCCGTTTGGAAATAGTCATTAGCTTAATTCCAATTACTGAAACCATTATCCTGGACTTGTACGTAGTTTTTCTCAATAAGGTGGCATTCCGATGGAAAATATGTGAAGTTTTGATCGTCTCCCTGAAATAAAATTTGAAACGACCATGAAAAATTTACACCAATATTTTCAGGTGACTTACTGACCATAACTGGAAAAATGATGACAGTAAGTGCATAGAAGTTTCAAAATAATGTTAACAGGAACAGAGAGTCCAGCATTGAACGGTTAAGGGGAGCACGTGCCTGAGGGACAGATCAGTATAAATAGAGAAGAGGACAAAATGCGTAAAATAGAAACAAGTTTAAGTGATGTCGGTGCTTTCTAGTTTTCTGTATTCTCGTCAATTATTTTGTTTAAAGGTAGATTTCAAACGTGTTGATGTAAGACTAGTCTTCCTTTCTCTTTGATGTTACGCTGACAATGTTTTGTTTTGTGTTCTTTTTTGGTACGAAAGAAGGTCATTCTTATTAGGCTTCACTACACCAATGCTTTATGAAGATCTTTTAGAGAAATCTTTATAGAGAATGGCCATTGGAATACCGCCTTCGAAGTGCAATCCGGGGATTACTGAACAATCAACAAGTTGAATCATCCAAGAAAGATATGAATACTATAAATGAAAGGAATTCTACATGGAACAACATTGTTTAGGATGTAGTATTTGTTTTCATTCAATTCATTGTGTCCCATTTTATTTGTGTATGTTCCCGGAGGAATACGAGTCTGCATGTCGCACAAAATTTACGAGGCACAGTACTTGACACTGACAAAAGATGCAATAGCATGAACAAAGTATGAGCTACGGGGATTATCAATTAGCACGACTTAACATCGTTCCAGAAATAATCTGACTTCGTTACCGTTGTATCATGTATTTTATTTGAGAACCAAGAATAAGTGTATCGCAAACTAATACCGTGCAGTAGTTTGACCACCTAGTTAGGGACATAAAATTATATGAAGGATATAAAGACGACACAACTAGGACAATCACCTTGAAGCCTTTAAGTAGCCAAACGGAACCGTTTGGTTCGAAAGAATTTCTTTAGCCCAGCATCAGGCCCCTGGCAAAACCAAACTGAAATGAAAGAATCGTGTAGGTCAAGTTTCTAGCAAACAATAAAAAGAGAGGCATTTTCAGGTGTGTGGGGACTTATCCTTGACCTGTTGCCATCTTGAGCATCAAATTAGCTTTTGTAATTTTGTTCCTTGGAGGGCAGGTATTACTGATGATATTTATTCAACTGGGAGAACAGCACGAGTGAAAAGACAATCTCATGTCTAAAGACTACCCCGCCTACTACCCTCTGAGCTGGCCCTGTTACGCCCCAACTATAGCATCAGTCCCAACTATAGTTGGGCCCGTCCCAACTATAGTTGGGCCCGTCCCAACTATACTTGGGCCCGTCCCAGCTAGAGCGCTACAGTTGGGCCGGCCCAACTACAGCAGAGAGGTCCTGTGTTCATGACGTGCCATGCCCAGCATGTGCCAAAGTCATATTGTTCACAAATGTCATGTCATCGGTCATACATGTAGGGCTAGATGAACAGATCAAGTGCCACATTTTAGATGAATTGTGTCTCAAGTGTGAGACACATTGACTTGGATAATATTGAGACATTTCCCACAGACATTGGTCAACAATAGTTGGGCCAGCCCAACTGCAGCACTACAGTTGGGACTGTCCCAACTATAGTTAGGACTTATGCTATAGTTGGGGCATAACAGCCCCACACTTAGCTGGTGAGTACCTGACAAGTGAGGGCAGTATGCAGATTTTACAGTACTTTCAGCAATAGCCCGACTGCGTACCGTGCGCGCCACGTAGCTAAGGCAAAGATCGACGGCGCAAGATGGGGAACTTCGCCATGAATACGCGTAAAATGTTGTTATCACATGGGTGCCATTCTGGTTGGACTACGACTGCGCAGTGCATGTTAATGCGCTGGCGCAGGCGCCTCGACAGGCACGCACGTGCGCACACAGATGAACGTTTTTACACTCGAATGGCGCTCATGGTGATAACACCTTTATGGCCAAATTACCCATCTTGCGCCGCTACGCGGCGCTATATAATCTTTGGCTGAGGGAGCTTAGACCTATTTGTACTTTCATCGGCGCATAGGGGTCATACGGGAAGGTAATGATATTGCCCATTCTCCAGCTTTCAAGTGGTTAATTGCTTGAAAGATCGACCCATTTCTTCGTAATAATTGCACGGTAAAACTTGGGGATTGTAACTTTGGTTCCTTTAATATTAGGGAGAGCCACACATAACACAGTACATTTTAATTTTTGAATTCACCTAGTACCTGGGTCATGCATGTCACGTGGGTAGGCCTAGAGCAGCAAGGCACTACTCCGTAGGCCTAGCCTACGGAGTAGTGGCTTATTGTTCAGGAAGTACCTGGGCAGGTGATGCTCGGTGCTGTGACATCATGCTCAGTAACTGTAGGGTTGATGTCCGAAAAATGGCAAGGGTTTTGAGGGAAATTATGAGGGGAAACTGTTGAGTGTTTTAACACATGGCATGCATATGACACATAACATGCATATGACACATGACATGCATGGTGGATTCAAATTCGTATGGCTAGTTTATCAGTAAGAAAGCCACATTTTCTCATAATTTACAATTGGAAATTTCCAAAAATAGGGTCAGTGCAATAAAGAGAGTGTTGCCTATGTTTCTTGGGGGACTCACCAGTTTTGCAATGACCAAAAACTTGTGGGGTCCCCGAGTATACCATTGTGTATACAATCCCTGGTAAAACCTACCCTTGGCAGTTTCAACGAAGAGTGAATAAGCAAAGTATTAATGCAGCCTAACTTTATTGATAGGCCCTATGTTGGGTAAGTCGGAGCACTACGCCAATTTTATTAGGCATGATTGCTTGATCTTTGCATGATTGCTCCATCTCAGAACACGATATGTTGATAATTCTGCCAATCACCCAGTTGCCCCTTCTTTCTCCTTCGTGGTTGTGAAAAAGCTGTTCAAAAAAGGGGAAGTGAAGTGAGAAGTTTCACTCAAACAGAATTGACTAAGCCGATCATGCCCCAACATTTCAACCACCAACTGTGGCATGATGACTCCCCACAGGAACGTACTGAGGGCCCTGACTCAATGTTAATGCCCTTGTATGAGGTTCACTAATCACATGTGAACAATGGTGAATCAAGCTATGGAAATCTGTTAAAACTTTTGTGAAACACATCTTGGATAGTACATCCTGGAGGAGGGAAATAGGGAAGAAGCTATGGATAAGCACATTGCTAGAATGATTATTGCTTATTCAGTGCAGTGTTATGCCTACCATACTATGAGACAGTGCGGACATCTGGGATTCTCACAAAATGGCAGGTACCGTGCCGGTGAAAACAGCAACCATTGCGATGTACGCAAGCCCCAGCCAGTCTGAGGATCAGGTTATACAATCTTTTCTGTGATCAGTACGTATGTGCTCGCTCGTTGCAGTTGTCTTCATTGGTGCGGTGTGGTTGCTACTTACAATTTTGTGAAACTCCCGGATGTCCGTGCTGCTCCATTTGCGACTACTGTTTACCCCTGGAACTGGGTTCACTGTCCAGTTCACTAAATTGGCAGACGATGAACCGCACAGTTAAGAGGTAACTTATGTTGACTAGACCCAATAACCTACATCATGGAGCTATGCTTACACATAGGGTGCCCTAAGCTGTACTCCGTTAAAGGATTTTTTTCCCATGGTTGTCATTGTGCTCCAGTGAAAGGCGTGTTCTTTTAATGTTTATGTTACCACTGTTACGATGAACTCCAGCTCCAAAAAGTTCCAAACTCAAGACTCAACACACCTGTTGGCCCGAGGTAGATTAAGAGAGGGCGCAAATTTCCTGGCAACAGAGGTTCCTTTGATGGGAAATGCACTTGGCTGGTTCACGAATTACTATGAAATGCACGTGTAATGGTCGTGTTGCTCTCAACAAAATGAGCATTCTCCACCAACATGGCTCTTTTCAGCCCATGAAGGGGTGCCTCTGCTCAAGATGGATACTTCTAGAATCCAGAGGGCAGTTTCTGGCAGGCCTATAACCCTATCAGGTTGATTACATATGTACGTATGTACATGTCAGAGGGGAACCAACTTAAGTGGTACTCATGATCATTTCCTTTGGGTGTAAATCAGCGAAGTTCAATCACATCTGATCATGTTCCATGCCAAACCAATCAAAGTGTTTTCAATTATGCAAAGTAACTTTTTTTATTATCTTAGTATGTGATTATCTATGGTTGCAAAATCATTGAGGATTATCAGGAGGCTTGACTCAACAGCTCATTTCTTCAACATGTTCAAAATGTAGATTAAAGGGTATCCTCTTGTAGTCCTATCTACGTGCCAATCATGCCAAAGAAGAAGACAGGTGCCCGGAAGAAGGCAGAGAAGCAAAAAGAGCGCCAGCGAGAGATTCGCAAGGGAGCAGAGCAGAGGCAGATTGCTCAATGGCCATGCAACTTCACAATGGTATGTGCCCACTCACAGTTCTTTGTTAATTGGTTAGAGAATCCTTACAGTTTGACCTGAGTAAGATCAAACTATACTGTTTGTAAAATAAAATGTGCATTGTCATTACTGCTGGACATTTTAAAGCAATCTAGCGACTGGTGACTCAATTTTTACGGAAATTTTAGTTCTCAAACTGCGCATTTAATAACACTTGGAAGTGTTAATGATTCTGAAAAAAATTGGGCATCTATTGTTATCCGATTTGTAAGTGTGACGTCACTTCAGTTTAAACCATGCCCATTGCACATGCACTGCAGATAGAGTTACATGCACTGATCATCGTTTACATGAAACATGGAACCTGAAGTTAAAGCGCAACTACAACTATCATCCAACGGGAGCCTGCAAATCATGGCACGACCGCCTTTGTGACAAAGTCACTTATGAGCTGGATAGTTGCTGGTCACTCTATGCAGTAAAAACCAAGGAAGACTTTTGTGTGTAGTGTAGTCAAGGGTAAAACAATTATGTTTGAAATAGAGAGCCTTGTGATTAAGAGACAGCAATGGAGTCATTGTGCAAACACATCACTAAAGTTTGTTCCTGTTTCTTTTGATTTTTACAGGAGTGTGACAAGTGTGGCAGGTCAGTCATTTGACTTCCTTTGATTTTTGTTATCAGACATTAAATCAAGCAAGGGAAGCTAGAGTTTCATAGTCTTACTGTGCTTACAGCAGTACCTGTAACTGGAGGTCAATCCTGAAGTCATGACCCATGGGAAGAGACCCTTGAAAAATGCTCTTTGTTTCCTTTTTATTTCTGAATTTGTTGATCTGCCAGTTCCAAATTAATTTTGCCTAAGAGCCGATTGCTGAAAGCATATATCTTTGGCAAACATCAGCTAGACACATTTGTTACCGCATTCTGCAGAATAAGCCTTAACACAGACAGACCTTAATCCTTCACATTGTTGGAGGATTGAGGACTGTTAGGGTTAAGGCCAATTTTTCCCAGTAGTTTTGCTCGCATATGGAGAAAGAGCAAAGTGAGCTCTGTCTTTGGGCATTTTCGAAGCAAGTGGATTCGGCCTAGACTTTGGTTCCCATGGTTGCAGCCATGTTGAAGCAGCGCTCAAAACCACATCTTCAAGCTCTGACTGGAACCAGTGAAATCGAAATCTCAGCCAAATCCACTCGTTTTCAAATGCCCTTTGGTTGCATTGCTCAGTCTGTCATCCGGATAATAGATACTATGTGAGTGAAACATATCAAGGGTTCCCATTGGTCTCCATTGTACAAGATTCTTGTCAAGGCCTATCACTCAAAAGAAGCCCTGACAACATCCAGTTGTTAGGCTGGGTCACATTTGTGTCAATGCTTGTTCACTTTGGCTTGTAACAATGTTCATTGTTAGCTCTTGTCAGTGCGTTCTCTTTTTTTTGGACACAGGCGACAAAAGAACCGTGCATTCTGTTACTTTTGTAGCGCTGTTCAGAAGCTTCCAGTCTGTGGGCATTGTGGTGAGAAGTTTACCAGTATTTGACTTCATCGTGTTTGATCGTGGCCCACAGTTAAACAAGGGTCAGAGAAGAAAAAGGTTTCCAACTTGAAAGAGAAATTCCCTTCGAATAACTCAACACTTGCTTAGAATCAGGAGCTGAAACCCTGATCTTCAAAGTTATTTTATGTGGTATTTCTCTCTGTTGCATAATTCTGAGAACCAATCCAATGGCTTTAGCATAATTTCAGTAGTTTGGGTTTCCTGTCTTTGTGGTTACTGTTAGGCAATATCCAAATATTCGATCAATGATCGAATATTATTTTAGTAGTGAATTATTCAAATTGACTCAACCCTACAGTCCTGTGCTTACCAACAACCACCAGTGATGCTACTTCGTGGTCTTGGATCATCCAAACAAAGCCGAGTGTGGCCAATGTTTGACAGAGTTGACTGAAACTGCATTGTGTGTGCATTTTGGCCAAGTTCACAGTTGCAGAAAATAGCCGTCGCCAAGCAACACGTCCCTCACCTTGCCTGTTTTCTTTCCCACTAGCCAAAGTCAAATGCATGCAGAAGACGGGGGACTGTGTCATCAAGCATCCAGGACAGTTCACTACTGGGCTTGGTATGGTGGTAAGCAATCCTCTTGGAATAAGTATATGAGATTTTTTGTTCATCCCTCGCTCTTGTGCTGGCACTTTTGCCCAGGCAGCCAGATGTGGCACTCCCAGATCGCACCCTCCAAAGGTCTTGCAATGAAGTGTTTTCCTTTTGTTTGTAAACAGGGTGCCATTTGTGACTTTTGCGAGGCATTCATCTGTCACGGCAGGAAGTGTCTGACAACCCATGCTTGTGAATGCCCACTTGCAGACTTGGAATGCAAAGAATGTGAGCGTGGAGTATGGGACCATGGTAAAGAAATGAACTCTTCATATATTGCAATATTTCACTTCCCCTCACTCGTGACCTGCGATGAAACAGTTTTACTAACATTATTTCAAATGATAAACTGACTTTTTTTTCCCTGAAACTTTCGAGGATACTAAAGCACCTTTCTCAAACTCACTGCGATATGATCTTTCTTTAAGATGTGTAGTGTCAACTGTATGAAGTATTCTCGGTGTATAATATTGTCATTCTGAAAAACCCACAGGCGGTAGAATCTTCAAGTGTTCATTCTGTGACTGTGCACTGTGTGAGGACGACCAGTTTGAGCACCAGGCTATGTGCCAGCAAGTCGAAGCAGAATCCTTGAAGTGTGGGTCTCGTCTTATGTGTGTTTAGATGTGATATATGGTGATTTCAGAACACCAAACACAAGAGGGCCATACAAGAAACTTGTGACAACAGCATTTGTGAATAAAAGATAATATCAACAACAAAAACAGAAGAAAAGGACACAAACAACATAATGGTGGAGAGAGGACATATATGTACCTTTTGGAAGCATGCACTGTTCCCCTTTGTACATGTTACCCAAAATCTTTTATCCTGGTAGTGCCTGCCTGGTGGCTATGCAACCATTTGACAGTGGGATGAACAGTTGGGATCGCTATCTGTAAACCATCGTTACCTTCCCTTTCTCCACCACTTCCATGTACAAAGTCAATGGTACATGTGTATTCTTCTTGATGCTCCAACCATTTAAGAGTCCTTTGTCTTGTATGCTTCACAGGTGCATCATGTAACAAGCTGGGCCAGTACTCTTGCCTCCGATGTAAGGTAAACACCACATGCAACTGGCTTTAGCTGTCTTGTAATAAGTACACTATCATAATGAGAACATGATTGCTCTGGACAGGACTGGTGACATTCCTTATTTTGGTAGAGCGGGTAGAGCAATATCAAATAGGGGCGTGTGCTGTGTGGTGACTACTGCATTTTCCAACAAGTCTCCCTTCTTAGTGTCATGACAATGTCTCATGTCTTAATGATATTAATTTACTGACTTTGGATGAACAACGAGGTAATTTGGGAGTGTTTATGTCTCCTTACAGGTCTGCTTTTGTGAGGATCATGTTCGGCGCAAGGGTTTCAAGTACAACCGTGGGGAGCCCATACCTTGTCCAAAGTGCAGCTATGACACTAAGGAGACCAAGGATCTCAGCATGTCCAGTGAGTGCCTCCTCAGAACTTTCTCTCTAGACAGTTTGTTCCCTGTTTTTTTCATGGTTCATCTTTAAAGTTAATGCTATTTTTACTGTGTGATGTAATGCACAGAGTGGCAAGATTTGTATTTTGTTGCAGTTCATTGATGGATATACTTAAAACATTTAATCTGAACACTTTTCCAGCTTTTTGAATATTTGTTTGATGAGCTTTAAAATAGCTATTTATTTTTAAATTTGTTCAGTATGAAGTATACGTATGAGACTGGATCTTCATAGATTGTTCCTGAAATCATTTACAGTGTCTTCACAGAACTCACAATATCATACAGGAGCCATTTTGATTTATAAAAACACAGGCTGTTTACTGTAAAAACTGCAGACCTCAAAGAAAGATGTCTTTAATTGCAATGCTTTTGAAGCCATTGAGGTCACTGGTGGCCATCTTACTGTGCCGGATACAAAGTTGATCATTGGCTGATGTGCCGTAGTAACTGTTAACCACAAATGATTTGCTTAACAATGGTGAGCAAGCCTTTGTATTACGTTTGTTGCCGGTTTGGAAAGACTGCTGCCAGTGGCTTCAATGAGGTATGTGGGCCAGTCAAGGGCATTGCGAGTCCAGACTTTTTACATGACACCTGTCGTTAAAACTGGCATTTTAAGAAAGTGCAATGATCTGCTCTTTCATCTGAACTCCTTACAGCGAGGAAAGTAGCCTATGGTCGACAGACGAATGATGGTGGTGAACAGAGTTTTGGGTACACATATGACGACGATGATGATGATGGTGGTGGCTATGGTAAATGCTCAGTGCTATCTTTTCCAAAATAAACACAAGGAAACATAGAGCCGCTCTGAACAACTAACCCCAATAATCCTCATTTTCCTAAGAAGTGAACAATCGTGGGCTGCTACGGTTAACGTTACAGTTTAAGAAAAGCTTCAGCTTTTTGTCAGACCTCCCCATAATATTATAAATTTAGTGTTGTTAACTTCTATATTATTTAACTTACATATATTGTGGAAATAAACCTGAAACCTGAAAAGTGTATTGATAAGCATAGGTAAGTTTAATTTCCTATGGCCAAAGCCTTAAGGAGATTAATTCTCCAGTCTCCCCAAAAGAGGTAGCAACAAAAAAGCAAAGGCACGGAGGTGCATGCACTGGTCAGATGCCTTTAGTTCTCAAGGTTCAATGCCATGCTGCCTCCATACTAGGGTGTAACGGGGGAGTAATGCGTACACTTGATTCTACGGCAGGTTACTATGGTGCAGCTGCTGAGGGCGGTTCCTACTGTGATGAGGATGAAGATGATGAAGATGACGACGAAGATGAACAAGATGATGAGGAGGACACTGATATGGCTGATCATCTGTCTCATCTCAACATTGGTCCAACTTATTCATGAAGTCAGAATTGTGTCAAGGTACAAGTCAAGAATAGCGACGTGATCATTTGGCATATATTTTCAAGATGTTGGGGAGGTTGTGTACATATGTTTTGCTCTAGCCATGATATCTTAGAATGTGTCATTTGCCTTTCGAATGTGCAGTTAAAGATGGCTGAAGTGACTTTCAGTGAATCTTATGGAGAATGTGACAGATCAGGATCAGCCTACGAGTGCTTGCTTTGCTGCTTTCATTGTTTCGCAGCTAAATTGACATTTGTTTCCATTCTGCACAGAACAATTAAAATGTACAGAAGTAGCAATATACAAAACATGAACTGCAACATATTGCTTTCATCTCATGGACACTACGATTGGACTATTTCATTGATTGTGATTTGTGCTTGGAGATCGGCACCAATCACAGCACTTGTCTTGTAATGATTTGTCACTCTTGCCAGTGCTGCGTTATCTGCCCGATAAAATCTAGCTCTCCTTTATAATGAAAATGGCTATGAAGAAAACTTTTTAAAAACGCACATTAATGTAAACCAAGGTTCAAGGCACACCATTGTTTATTCAGTATTTATGGTATACATACTGATTACAAACACTTTTTAACCTTCTTACATAAATCCTCTAAATGATGTGCATATTAAAGAATATACACGGTCAAATAAACCATGACATAATCTGAAATTACAATGTTGTTCCTTTAAAAAGTCTGATCTCTTTTTTTTTAAATTTCCTTCATGAGAAATCACTTCTATCTGCTATTCACACTGTCTAATCCAATTGTTAGTTTGGCAAATTTGTTAAAATTCAGGAGTGTTAAATTCTCTAGAAGAAGGTTATTCCACAAACTCAAACTTGCCATTTCAGCATTGACCAGTCTTTAATCAATTTCTTCAAAGATAGTGCTATTGCAAATTATCCCACAAAATAGGTAGGCGATGGGTTGGATATGAGGTTGTACAGGTGATTTGTTCTGAGCATTAAACAGGATGAAATGTTGCAGTTCATCCTCGGGAGAAGGAGATACTTTGAAACTCAATCGATTCAACTCAAAATGCCCACAAATAAAACATTATTCTACATGATACTCCCTATCCATTAGTGATATTCTATCTTCACAGAATCTGTCCAATCATTTCTCCACCCACTGGTCCCCCATTTCCCAAAGCATGGTGAGAGAAGGAAAGTGTCTGCCAACCAAACTAGGTGTCTGTGCAGCCATACATTTCCAGTTTGATCCCAGGAAACATGTCATAGTCGTCTACATAGATGATGACGAAGCGTGCAGTCACCAGTTGTCCCATGGTGTGAGAGGTAGTGGCAGAAACAGAAGACACCGTAAAAACCTGTGGAAAAGTAGTGCATGTTATTTTTTATCCGTAACAGATATTTCCTGATATGTGAGGTACATTCTAAAATGGTCTCAAGTCTTGCTGTGCTTTTGCTGAAGATGATAACCACATCATGTGATCGTGTATCCTGAGGTCACTTTAGGGGCACTGTTTGGATCAAGGAATGATTGTGTATCTATTGATTTGATACGAATCCCAGTGTGAGGGAAAGCGATAAAATCTGACAACCAAGTTTTTGTTGACTTTCTCAGTCTGGAGATTTTGTGGCTTACCTTTGCTGTCAAGGACTGTTTGTCAGTCAGGAGCTCAGTATCATGATTCAGGTCTAACTTGTGTCCAATTCTGAATTGGGTCACCCCTGTCATCGCTGCTATGCCAGAGATGTACATCCCTTTGGTCTCCATCTTTTGAAAACAAAAGTAACACACCTGTGAATTTCTGTCCAATTACAAGGGGGATTATGTAGTATGTGGCATTAGTTGTTTGTTTATTTCTTTTCCTGGTGAAGGACAAAGGAAGAATTTACGTGACTTGAAAACAATGGTGCTTCCTCATATTGGACGACAAACTAACCCTATTGAAGGATCGCACATGCCCAAGATCAATTTGTAGCTGGAAGGGGATGTTGACCCCAATGTTGGTGAAGTTACTCAGTTCAATGGTCGGGCTCTGGTCCAGTGCATCAAACCACAGGTCATATTCATCTGTGGCATCGTTGTTATGCATTGGGGTACCAGACATCTGATTTTTGGTGATGCCGAAGGCTAGGTTACAATCTGTTCACAGAAAGATAGATGAAATAATTTTCAGAAAAAGAATTCGAAATGCTGCTTCTTTCTTGTTTATGAAATACAGTATATTGAGGGCATTTGTTCCAGTTTGATGTCAGCACAAAGTTTCCCTTAGTTTATATGTTTTGATATATTTTCCAGGACTAGCAAAATTAATTCCTTTTTCCGAGGCCCAATCTTGAATAGTCAAATATTCAATTGAGTTGAAGGTCAAATGTTCAAATTGTGAATGATTTGAAGTGACTCAGCCCTAGCATGCTGGCAACGTTGTCATGCAGTAGGCTCTTTTGAAACTTACTTCTCTCTATCCCAAGACGAGTGCACTGTCCTTCAAAGGACATCTCCTGTTCCCATTGTCTAAAACTTTGCAGCTCTTGCCTTGAGTTGCAATAGCTGACACAGAGGGCAGTAATAAGAAAGTGTACAAGCCAGTATTTTACTAGTATAATTCATACAGTTTGCAAGTAATTGTCCTTTTACACAAGACCAAACTTGCCCCCAGCGTAGTAGACAGACTGCTTCGCAATTCCTCCACATGGATAGCTCGCTGCTCCACACGCATGGAAGCACTGGCTGGTAGGGGCGGGGTCATTCTTCATGGAGTTGCCACAGTAGCAGCGGTTGAGCTCACTGGACAAGCCCAGCAGCGGGTAGCCCAGGCTGCTGCAGTGGCTGCTGCAGTTGCCCACGTCCAGTCCTATAGCTGCTGTAAAGGTGTCGTTGACATCACCAGCATGGAAGCAGCCAATCATCTTCTCCGGTTCTGTATTGAAGCAAAGCATTAAAAAATATGCAAATGTGGCGACATGAACTCTGTCTGCATGAAAAAGAAAGGGAATATGATAACCCCTGCCAGAAGCCATAGCCAGAATAAAGCCATGTCTGACTTGAGTCTTTTGTTGCTATGGCTTCCTTTTTTTCAATTCTTAGCCTACTTTGGTTGAAAAGAATGCCTGCAGCTTGAAATTACACATGACTCTGTGGGAGGTGGGTGCAACCACTACCATAGACTTGTGCGTAATTTCAAGCCACAAACAAGAAACCAAGTCAGGGCGTAATTTTCCCCTTACCGTTTCTACACTTGAGGCGGAATTTGTAGTCCTGGCACTGTGGAGACATCCTATCCATCCTCCAGGTCAGTCGTGAGAATGTCTCATTTATTGTAACATTGTGTTGCAGCACCAGGGTCTGGTTGTTACAGACTAAGTACCCATTACTGGCATCTGTTCCGTTGGTGTCCATCATTGTGCCATTTCCAGTCACCTCATTAGCCATGGTCTCATTAGCCACTGTCTCATTACCCATGGTTATATTTACCATGGTAAGGTTTGCTGCCATAGTTGTGGGTGTGACCCACTCACAGTTCAGTTCCGTGTCGTTGTAGGATTCCTCAATTCCCACCAGGCGCCAGTCAGAAACATTGAAAGTCACGTTGACATAATACACCTTGCACAAAAAAAAAGAAATTGTGTCATGTAATGTGGTTGTCATCGCATAGCAAATCTGCTATTGTGTATGTATTTCTTTCAAGTAGCATTTAATCAGTTGTCATTATTGCAAACCAAATCTTGGTTTGCTGTTGTCGTGCAGCTGTCTGGTTGGTTCACTGTATACCTCTCTCCATTGGATCTAGAGTGAACTATCCCCTTAAACTCTATATTGGTTATATTGAATTAGCTGTTTGGCAACACTGATTTCTGTATTCTACACGTGGGGCAAAAGTGATCTCAGTAGTTTCACTGAGCCCAATTTGAGGAATACAAATTTCAATTATTACAATCATGTTTCAAGTAATATATGATCCAGTAAGTTATCAATCAAATTATCCTTCTAGGTAACACAACACATAAGAGGCTTTTTTCAGGTAAAGGATGATGGAAAGTCTATGTGGAAAATGTCGGACAAGATAAGGAACATCTTGAGTGGTTGCCATGTATGTCTGTGTTGTGGATATATGAGAGCACTTTGAAGGTGTCTCAGGTCTTTATGGCAGGGTCAGGAATGTCTGTTAGAGTCCTTTGTCTTTGAATCACAAGATTCTGTGGTGGCTCGTTGGTTGAGAATTTACAAAGTACCAAAGAATTATAGACAGCCATTTCTCTACCTGCAAGTCTTGTGTACAGTTGATGCCTCCCTCGACAGTGCACTCCACATTGAATTTATCACCAGTCTGGTCATAGGGAACATCATCAAACCTGCGGCAGTCAATGTCCACAGGATTGGCACAGATCCAAGGCATGGTGTCATGAACTTCTGCTGTGGTCTCAATGTCGTGACCGTCGGCCCAGGGTGTATCAAAGTTGAACCACTCAGTCCAAAACTCTGTATCTGTAGGATAAAGGTTATAATGTTCATTTTTACCCAGGAGTAAACTAAACCTCAAGTTTTGTTTTTGGTTTGCCACAGAAAATTGATTGCTGGATTTGAATCTGGAAGTTTCCACATGCTATAATCAGCTACCTCTCAGCCAGCTGAGCTATCTAGTGTAGTGTTGCTTCATGTTGTCTCCCATTGATCTGATCAGTTGTTGGAAAGCATGCATCCGAAGTAACAGAGATTGCACTATAGCATTTCATAAATACTGCAGACTTGGCAAATAGATTCGTAGATCTCTTCCAGCTATAATATACATGTATTGCCAAAAGCACTGAACACTGAATACACCATCATTTTAAAACCTACCTTCAGTGTTCATCTGAAATGTTGAATAGCCAAGGCTTCCCCCACAGTACTTCCCCTGGTCATCTCCACCGGGACACTCGATGTCGCAAGCCCCTTCGGAATAACTCATGTCCATCCCTTCCATGGAGTTGTGGCAGTTGCACGTGGTCTTGTTGAACAGGGAAGCAAAGAGGTACCCGTCGGCCCGGCATTCCTCCATGCATTCACGGACAGTCAGGCCTGTGTAGCCTGGGGTGGTGGAGGGGGGCTCAGGTGTGGTGCCATTGCTGATTGCGGGCAAGCTGGCCACAGTTGGGGTGTAGGTTTGGATAACCATGGCATCTTGGATACTGCCAGAAAAACAGCCTTTGTAGGATGTGCCAGAGTAGGATATTCCTGATGGAAGCAAAATCAAAGGGAGTAAACTTATTGTTTAGAAATTCAAACATTGCAGTTCATAATGTGGCAAGGATTTGTCTGTCTTTTTCAGATAGTGACACATTTGACAGCAGTAAAGATTTCTGTTTAGGTTTTACACTCTCCTAAATCCCCTAACATTGTTCTTATTTCTTCTGGCAAAGATTCCTGAAGTAAAGAATGAAGATTCTTCACAAGGATCTGAGGAAGTTACCCACCCAAAAGAGCACCCTCTGCTCTGTAAGGAGGCCACTCAGTAGCCCTCCCATGTATGTTTGGCTGTTGCTTTCGAAAACTACGGAAACAATGTACTAATTGTTGTAAGTTTTAAGTTTGTCAGAATATTGAATTACTGAGAGTTTCAAAGGCATTATGTCTAATCTCTTTTTAATTGACCTGTCTTCCATGGCTCTTTGTAATTTCCAAACCCAAGGCTTGTAACATCCTTTCTTTACCTGCACTGTACACAGAGGAGTAAGTATTACCCCCACATTTCTGGCTAGAATCACCAGGGCAGTTGGTCGTGCATTTGGATTCATCAAAGATGTCTACAGCCTGCATGCTGCGAATGCAGTAACAGTTTTGACCCTTCAGAGCTAGCAAATAGGAATAAGGAAAAGGAACTCTTATGCAGAGGATAATGGAAACCAAAAACTAATATATTTTGTGGAGAAATAGTAAGCAACATTAAAACTGGTTTCTGTGGGAATGAGCTATGCTTGGGATAAAACATGTGATGTATTGGCTTTTGATATACATGTAGTGGCTTATATATTTTGATATAAAAGTCTCCCCCTTTGCTTTGTGTAGGGATGAAGAGTTTTTTTTTTAAGTCTTTACTGATCATCATCATCATCTCTGCAAACATATTACACCCTTGCCCGTCTTGGACTTGGTAGTGAGATGGAAGAAGAGCAGGACCTGGAATGGGAAATATTTCACCCTGACACATCATAAAACTCACCCGCAAGTTTGTAGCCACTATCAGCGCACGTTTCCCGACACAGTGGAATGTCCATGTCACTACTGCTGGTTTCCAAGGCAACATCGTAGTTTGCCTCTAGCTGGCTGTGCTTGTAGCAACCTATATAGGGATAGACTGGGAGGAATGAAAGAGGAAAAGTTGATTAGTATTATGAAAGAAGTAGGCCACTGATTGAGATGTATTATGACTGTTGACTCCTTCGTCGTCGTAACAAAGGTAAATCATCATAGTTGATTGATTATAGATTACCTGTGAGGAAAATAAAATGATATGCAGAAAGGCTTCTCACATTTACTGGCATTTCATATCAAAATAGAACTATTATTAAAATATTTGTACAATGAGCTTTTTTCAATTTCCAGTTCTTGGCATGCTACTCTACAACACTTTATACACCTCAACGACATGTTGCTGCCTGCAACACTTAACACTGAACACAGACAGTACAAATTAAAACAATAAAAAGAGACAAGAATTCGTGGGAAGAAAATTATCAATTTGACACACTGTTTGCTCTTGGTCTCTCATCCTTCATCTTCTAGTTAGAATTGGCGCATTGAAATTTAACAATTCTGCTCAGACTTTGTGGTAGAACAATTACGCATTTGGTTTCTGTCAATGTTCTCATCCAGATTGCTGGAATAAGGTCCCTTACTGTACTGTTTTAATGAGAACTCTACCTAGTTAATCGGTCCAATTTTAACATTAATCCATAAACAGAATTTTCCCTCTCTCTCTCATTTTTTTTTTATTTGTTGAATCTTCGTAATTATCTCCTTTTTTTGTAAATAAGAGACATCACCATTAAGAGCTAAGCATAACCGCTATCCAATTTATTTCTTGGCCTACCATTGCACTGTTGACTGGCGCAGGATTTCTCGCGTGTGTTGGGTCCCACGCAGTCTTTGCCGTCAGCCACCACCCACGGGTTGCTGCAGTTCCGGTAGCTGACCGCTCTGCAGACCGCTGAACAATCGGAATAGTTGCCCCAGTCCGAGAAACCCCCATCCACTGGCGCAAGATCTGCAAGAACCCAAAATGCATGTCCGTGTAATCTTCGAAGATCTGTCTTAGAGGGAAAAGTTTTCAAACTCACAGTTTCCCGGCATACTTTTAGCGGCGTTATTATGCAGTAAAGCGTCCTGATCCGATTATATGTGTCAGTTTGATTATGTTTCGATTAAGCAAAATGATGGAGAAATTGAAATCTTCGATCATCTGTGAAACATCAGTCCTGTACCAAGTTCAAGGAGCCAATCGGTGACACCCGATTCTGACCAGCTTGAATGCCAACCTACCGCTGCAAGTGTCTCCCTGAAGGCCTGGTGGGCACTGACATTTATATCCATGAGGATGACATTCTTCGGTGCAGATATTTCCAGTTAGGCACGGGTCATCAGCACAGGGATGTTGCTCACCCTGAAAAAGGAAGAACATAAGCCTCTCCTCAAAATTACCTGTCTACCTTGATGTAAATCCAAGTTTCGATCCAAGGTAAGCAGTTCAACCTCTTGCGTCAAGGTACATAATTCGAAGGGCGATATTAGGCCTATATACGTGTAATCCGGTACGCTGAAAGTTCCGATAAAATTATGAAAGGCAAAGGAGAGAGATCAACGAACGATCTACCAAAACTAGTTGGTTGTACTCGTTTGTTTCCATTTAAAACGTTTGTTGTTAATGTGAAATAGATTTAAAGGATTTAATTGCAACCATAACAAAGGCTGAAAATGTTCATTCTTGAACGCCGAAACTAACTGGACACAATGATAATACTCAAATTAAGCTAGCTCCCGCGTACATCGGTGCGACGATTGGTGGAGGGGGAGGGGGCTAGCTCTTCGCGTTGCATGCGTAAGTCACGACAACCCATTTGTTGTAGTCCTTGTGACGCATTTCCTTTAGAGGATTTCTTGAAATTTTTCCCTCTAAGAGCGGACGTATATTAAGACGAAAGCGAGGCGCCTTAGGTGTCACGAAGCATTTGCAGGAAATGTTGCTCCAGTTGAAATGTATTCAGCTTTTGCGAAGTTGCCGCACGAAAACCTGACGTCACAGTTTCACGCTTGTGCTGTCTTTTGCACCAATTCTGAGCCACTTTTTAACGTTGACCGACTTCATATTTGTGGAGTTCTAATAATCTGTTTGCAATATTTGTTTTACAGCAAAAGGTTCCGGAGCGGAATTTTGTGAAGACCTTGACTGGTGTTTAAACATATTTCGTAGAATAAATTTTGTAAAGGGAACATTGCAGTGTTTTCTGTAACATCACAAATATTGTTTGCCTTTTTGATAAAAAACAATTGTATAAATCATAGGTGTAATTGGCAAACGTATTGAACGACAAACTTACCACTTTGGGATCGACGCTATCGGCGAATACAATCCCTCTTTTAGGTGTCAAGTGCGGCAGTGCAGCGTAGTCGAACAAGCTACACGTGGAATTTTCCTCTCCCCACTCGAAGGAAAGACAGTCGTCTTCCATCAGGCATCTGATCCCGCACTCGCCCCGGCTGTAGGCAGTGGTGTTGAGGAACGCTCCATAGCCCCCTACCCCGCAGTCCGGGAAGCGAGCCGTCTCTACGAAGCCATACTCACTGGCCATTCCTCGTCTGATGGTGGTTCCTTGTGCCGTGGTCAGTGAAGGAAGAAGGGAAAAAACTACGGAGAAGGTGAGGATCATCCTGACAAGCATGATGGATTGATTGATTATCTAAAGCAGAAATATCTAACAACTTTTGCAACCAAGCTACCGAAGTTAATGGTTACGTGGTCGTTGTGACTATATCATCAGCCGTAGTTCGTATTAGAAATCCGTTTGACGCAGTTGCGACAGATTTGCTGAGGCCGCGGAAGTTACTTCTTGTGGACGCGTTCTTCGCGTCAACTGACTACAATAATTATTTACATCGACGCGGCGGTGAACAATTTGTAAGCTTAATTTCTTCGGAGATGCGCTCTGTCTTATTTCTTAGTTAGAACTTCGATGTTCCTTTGCTCTTCCAGCTTCAGTAACACTTGATCTCCAACAAGACGACCAGATAGCCTGGCATAAGCATCAAGTCCGTTGGTATGTTACTCAGCAAAGTATTGTCTGAATCTATTGGATTTGACCAGGCTATAACATCACAGTGAATCTTCGATCATAATTCTGAAGAAGAGCTGACACAATGAAAATCGATACACTGGGACAGAATAGATGCATAGCAAAATAACCACGAATAACAACTAAGGTTCATTCGTAATACTGAGCATTTCGACTGGCTTTGTGTCAGAAGTGTACCGAAGATCCAAACTATACTCTCTGCATACAACAGACCTGAAAAGTCACGATACTAGGCCAGGCAGGAGTAGTGGAATCAAATACATAAGGCCACATACTTTTACATAATTTGAAATGATTAACTGGTTAGGCTTGCTTTAGTGCCCATTGGCAGAGGATCAGGAGTGTGTGATCGATCGTGTTCTTATGCTGTCCGACACCCGTCTGACGGAGATAAAAATAGCTAACCGATAAACCTGCAGGACGCCCTCTACTAAATAATCCGTCGTACGCAACGCACGTCAAGAATCGTCGGGGACCCAAGGCATTATCAATATCACACGGCGTAAGCATGAGGGGGAGGGGTTGTCTGTGCCGCCCTACATATGGTGCGCGATATGTGACAAAGGGGACCCCCTCTTTGCGTCTTCTTTTGTGTCGGCGGAATCTTTGGAATTCCTTTCAGATTTTTTTCGGGGGGGGGATGAAGTAGGCACAAGAGCCTGAGGGTATATAGCTCGTGCATCACATTAGGGGGTCCTCCCCGCGCCAGGTGCCCTTACATCGGTGTTGCTAGGATTTTTTTTTTTCAGGGAAGCACTTTTTTCTACGGTGGAGAATTTCGGGGGGGGGCAAAGCACTCATCACACATCAGCAACAAACTGAAAAACCATAGTGTATATGGTAAATTTTGATTCATTTTCAACAAAGTTTTTATTTTTACTCCCTTTTACGTCACTTCTTTGTTGTATATCTTTTACTTATCCTTTTTAAATTTAATTTATTTCGGGGGGGGGGGTGTGTATGAACCCATATACACAGTTTCAGGGAGACGGCATAACTACAGTGACACCATCAATCTCCATTGTGGGAGATAACTGAGTTGCGCCAACTCACAGGCGCGTTCGTAAGCTTGGCGCGTACGTGCATTTTAGCCGTCCACCACACCGTGTAGAGTAAAGAATAGTTGACCGTTGAATGCGCGCGCGCGTAATGTGCCTCTTCGGCAAATAGGTCAGTGCCCATGTCGCTTGAAGGGAAGGGAGATCAGATGGGCACGAATACATGGTCGTTGTTGTAACTGAATGCATGTGAGCTCTTGAAATTTGCCATCTATAAAGTTGTTTAATTTTTGACATGGTACCCCGCATCAGTTCAAATACGTATCCTACAGAAATCGGAAAACGTTTCTGCACTACATTCAAAGGGAAAAATTTGAGCATATCGATACAGTTTTTCTCTCATTGTAATATCTAATTTGATCTCCTTGTGATGACCCATTTAAAATTATGATAGGTAGGCCTACAGTAAAGTTACTCATCAAACTTCATTATTATCTGCTTTAGTAACTCTCGACCTCGTGATCGTATTGCGCAAATAGCGCAAAGAATTGTTTTCGTAGTCTTTTTTTGCCGTTACTGGGGGTCAAAAGGGTGATCGGTCTAATATCCTTGTGTTTTTAGGGACCGTTTTACTTTAAAGATTCCAGTGCAGTATTGTTGGCTGTTGGTTGAGAAATTTTAGTTTGTTCGTTTGCCCTTCTCAACGCTTTTTAAACACTTCTCAAGTTTTTCCTAATACCTCTAGAAACATTTATGCCAGTGGGCAAACGCACCCGCGTGCTGTTCGGGTAATGCAGTTCTGTCCTGGTAGTCTTAAACTTTTATTAAATGTCTGTGTAAACGCTTTTGTTATGGTCTGTTGACCACATCCAGGTGCAGATCTGAGACAAAACCCTAAAAGATGTAAAAATGTAAAAAATTCGGTAAATGATAAAAAAATTACTAAATTTAATTTTAAAACAAGATAGCTTCCTGCAGATTTTTTTTACGTATACACTAAATGCCGTTGTAAACAATGTGTGTTATGTTATGCTTTTCATTGTTCCTTTTGTCCGCAAAAATGAGACTTCGGTCTTACTCCGCCGGAAAAATTCTGGATTCACCGCACACATCCCAGTTACATTATTATCGAGTTATCGGATCAAGGCCGTGCAAACAACCACTTGCTTGCTCTTAATAATAATGGGTGCGTTCGATTAGCTTCCCTGAACACACCAGTGTTACACTCAAGAGAAGCCTCACTTGAGGCTTATCGAACGCTTAGTGCAGGGTGCACTGACCCCATTCAAGCTCCATTGTAAAATCAACCAAGTTTGGAGCCCCATGAGGCCTCTCAAACAAAAAACAATGTGTTGTTTGGTTCTTCAGGTTTCATTTGATTTTCAATTTTTAGTAGGTTAACCAATGAATTTCTTAATTATCCGCCCAAAACAAACTCATCCCCCCAAAAGTGAATGTTACCAAGCCCTCCCAGCGGCCATTTTTTAAATGACATCCCTCACCTTCCGGGGGCTCTTCTGACTAATTTTCAATCCCATTTTTGTCTGCTTTGCCCCCAGATAAGTGCCCCTGAATCTACAGAGATAATTCTGGGCCATACTGACACACTCCCTTTATTTCTTGGCCCAAACAGACCCCTCTTTTTGAAACAATCTCTGCGGGTACTTTTTGTGCGCCTCCGCCTGGCGGAGAATTTTCCTTGAATTGGGACACTGCACCCTGCAGTGTGTTTTCAAAGGCATTCTGGGAAAAAGGTTAAGTCCCCGCTACGTTCCACATGTAGGTCGTCCATGCTCGAACAGTCCATCCGTGACGTCATTACACTCGGGCTGCCTCCAGAGACCCACTCGCCAGGTGGGGTACTGGTGGCTGACACCAGGGCAGGCACGAACATCACGTGATGGCTAAACGAACGCTCTCGTGTAAGTTTGACTTACACGTGTAAGCTAATCGAACGCACCGAATGGGTGCATAATCCGTCAAGTGATTTTTTTTTTACCCAACGCGCTAGGGGTACGGAAGCGTTTAAGGGCCACTTGCAATTTTCTTTTAGTTACTATCTCGCCGCGGCGACTCGCCATCTTGCCGCGGCGAGTTATACGATCTTACCGTGGAGTCAATTGATATCCCGTCCCAGCGAATATTTCTATAGCTTCATAATTCTTATTTAGCATGTTGTTGTTCTCAGATGTATCATTAGGGTGGAATGCAGTACATATTTGAGATTGATTAAAAGTTTTTGTATTTCAACAAAGCTTGATACACAAAAAAGAAATCTCATTTGGGGTGTGAATTTCCATATTCGGAAGTGTCGTAGATTACTTTGATTCCCTTGCAGACTGCCTATTGAAAGCATTACGGTGCCAATATTCATGCGCCGCGAGGGGGGACCCTGAAGAAATTTTTACAAAGAACCGTGACAGCCAAAGAAATGAAAAATAGAAATGAAATAGTACGAAAATTATCAATTTGCTTAATAAAAACAGAAAAGAAAACTGACCCACCCAGATGGTTGCCCCCCCCGCCGAAAAAATTCTGGCAACGCCCATACATACTTTTAGCCACTGTGTGTTACCATTTCAGACCAAACCTCCATATTGATATCATATGCATTGTAACAGGAAGGGCAAATCCATGACATATTTTTTGTCGAGAGCTTGGATGGAGTTTATCTTAACGTTTGAACATGGGTTGGCACTTCCGGCCCAGTGCGCATGGCACGTGTGCACTTATATTATATTCAAAGATTTAACTTGAAGGCACGAAGTAACCTAAATGTTTTAACCGTCCAAAGCAAAGTATCGCTTTTGTTCTCCATTTTAAGTATTATAAATGAATAAATTTCGACTGATAGAAGTTCAAATGTAACTTTCAAGTCCGCTTGCTTCTGTTTGGCACTTAGAAAACGGAGGAACACCGCAACAACTGGGGTGCACCCCTGTGTTATCAGAGGTCTATAACACTTTTCACTGGTACATGTATTAAAATGTTGGTGTTATTTGGTGTTGCTTTTACCCTCCAGTGCATTGTAACACTTATAGGTGCGCAAAATAACACCGGCGGTGTTAAAGTAACATCCCATGGTGTGTCCATCTGATGACACCAAAAAGTGTTGATTTCAACACCACAGTTTTTGCAGTGAAGGAATTAAAAACAGTCTGCCCTTCATCTGAATTTGGAAATTCATACCAAAAAAATTGATTTCTGTTGTTTTCTTTTGTGTTTGAGAACAAGCTTTGTTGAAATGTAACATTCCCTTTTGTTCCAATTAAATAAAACCAAATCTCACTGCATTTCACACTAAATATACATGTACATACATTTAAAAACGATGGCGCGCTGAATAGGACTTATGAAACTCTTGAAATATTCGCTGCGGAGGGATATCAATTTGATGCAAGATCGTATAACTCGCCGCGGTGAAATAGTAACTCGAAAAAAGTGCAAGTGGCCCTGATACGCTTCCGTACTACCTGTAGCCTCGTACGCATGGTATAAATGTGGCGCGAAAATCCTTTTGTTCACTGGAGGTTCACAAAGGTTGCTGGTATTTTGGCTGTAG